TAAGGCCCAATATCTAGGCCCAAATGATTTTTGTGGCCCAAAAGATTTAAAACAAATAAATAAATTAAAAAAAACATAAAACCCTAAATCATCTATTCTCCACCGTTGCCTCCACCATTTTTAATCTACCATTTCTTAAAAACTTCTCCTCTTCAAGTCTCTAACTTCTAATCTCGATTCTTTTCGATCTACAATAGATTTTTATGGTTTTTTTCACAACTATAAAAGATATATATCATATTATCATGTTTTTCCTCCCAATCTCTTCATAATCTTATCTTCGTTCAACCCATGTTCTTCCTTTTTCATCTTCTCTATTGTTCTCTCTCCTTTCTCCACTCTGCAATGGCAAGTTTGGTGAATATTGAAATCAAAAAAATAAAAACCGAAATTTTTGGTATCCAATATCGAAAATATAGAAGGATTTAGTATTGGTTTCGGTCATGAAAAAAAGAGGAAAAAAAATCGGTTAGTTACTTTCCGGTGTCGGTTTTCACCAAAACCAACATTTGCCCACCCCTAGTTAAGGAAACAAAATTTTTTTTTTTTCGATCGGATCTTTGTAGGAAAACTCTTCTAATACTTGTTTTTTCGTTACAAGATTTGAATTCAAAATCTTATTTAAAAAAAATCAAATTTTTTTCAATCGGATCAACAAGTCGTTGATTTTATGTTTTTCCTTATAATATACTATTATATAGTCTAACATAACATTGAATAGATATATATTTAATTTATTATTCTTTTATTATTAAGAATTAATTATTATATGCATTTTTATAGATATGCCGTGACGTTTTTAGTTTAGTGGTTTTTTTTAAAAAAAATTTTATCATAAAAAACATGGTTAGTAAGTTAGTATCTATTTAAATACCAATCGAAGAGTCAACTTAATGATCATGTGCTGTGTGTCACCTTACTTTTCATACGAAAAAACGTAACCACTTGAATCTCTCGAGAGAATGCTTTTAGTTTAGTGTTAAAGATTAAAACCTCATAACTTAAGGGTTATAAGTTTTTTCCTTTTTTTTTTATTTTTTATATTGTGCTTAAATCAAAATGTTAATATACAGATGAATTTTTAAAATTGAATAATTTTTCCATTGTACCATTTAATAGGAGATGAATTGACTATAAAGAAATAAATATTTTTTTATCTAGTGTTTAAAGATACAAAATAAAAAAATTTTAAAATATCATAACTACAAGATAAAAAAAAACCCAAAGATATTATGCTAAATCACTCTGTGCACTCCTTACAATAACATTAAAATCCTGACATTTGATCAAAAAAATATATTGTAGCTAAATCACAACGTGCACTATTTAGTACTTACAATTCATCAAAATAGATATGCACTACTTGCAATAACATTGATATTCTGACATAAGATCGGAATATCACACGATAGTATTCTAAAGTGACAATATACGCAGTGTATGGCGTAGTGCAAAAAGCAAGAAACATTAATTTAAGTTCATGATAAGAAAGAGAAAGGAAAAAAAAAAAAAAAAACCACGAATTTTGATGTACTAGTTCCTGGATCTAGAGAAAACTCTATCCCTGACATTAATTAGCAGCATGCAAAAAAATTGCCAGAAATATATAGTACGTTATAATAAGATGCAATTTGTTAAAAAATCAGTAAAATCTTCAATTTATGGGCATTTTTCTGCACAACTTGTAATATTTCAGATCAAAGACAAACTATATGTTGCCCTTAAAAGTTCAACTCCATGTTGCTTTGAATAAAGTTATCTCATTCCCAAAATTCGGTAAAAAAAATCTCAGATTCTGATTCCTATATACCCACAAATCCCAAATCTTTTACTAACAAGAAAAGATTGTTGCTTTGAATTTGGTTTAAGATGGGTATTCGATTACCGGATTTGGTGCTTCATGCAAAGCAGCAGGTTATCCGGAGGACGTGTCCGGCGAAGCGTAATTGCTCCTACGGCCAACCACTGGCGGCAATGGGTGTTCCAAAGGGTCATTTTTCTGTCTACGTTGGGGATGAAGAGGGAACAATAGTTCTTGCTCTGTAAATGACCCAAGTTTTGCTTCTTCTTAGTTTAACTAAAAGTTTGACCTGAGTGTAAATAATTTGTACCTAATGTGAGGAATAAAAATTTTGGATAAAAAAAAAAGGGGGTAAAAACAATTTTCAACCATTTTTTGAAACGTCGGGAATTTCTTGAAAAATTCAAGATTTGCATGGCCATGGTGCCTACTTTGAGGCTGATTTTCTCTCAATAGGAATCAGTTCAAGGAAAACCAGGTATACCATGTTAAAGAGCACATGTAACACAGTAAGAAAGTTTGAAAAGATATGTTCATGGAAAAAAAGAATGATAAATTTATTTCCAAAATTTTATTTACAAATTGTAGAATATCCGGATGAAATACAACTTGCCAAATTGCAATGTAAACAAAATTGAAGAGACAGACTTTGGCATTGCTTTTGAAACAAAGACTTTGGCATTGCTTTAGCCATAGTTATCTCATCTATGAGCAGCTCAAGATTGTGGTGAGACTAATGAAGTACTCTTCACTGCAAGGAATAGTGAGGCCTCCAGTAGGATGATTGAATCCAAATTCTTCCTCGGCTCGATTCAATAGGTCTTGGAATAGAGGATGGTTCAAGTAAGAAATTGGAATCACAAATCTCCTCCTGTTTCCTTCTCCTACGTACACTGCAATGTGTCCCTTAGGAGCATTTGCATTTGCCAACACATTTCCAATTCTTCCTGAAAGAGTTCTCTGGAGCTTTTGTTTGGCATGAACTAAGCCTGCAATTTGGATTCCCATCTCAGAAACCTAGTGGGAGAAATTAAGGTAAGAAAAAAGATTGAAGCTTTAGTATGTTGAAGATGTGAGAATTGGGTTGAGTTTGGTATGTTGAGTATGTAAATATATATAGAGCGGATTTCAAACCTTAAAAAATTGGATAAGGGATGGTGAGAGAGGTCAGTGAAGAATGTTTTGAGAAACATATCAGGTGAAGTAATTAGACGTTCACATGGTTTTGCTTTGTCTTCTGTAGGACACTATGTCCTACCACCTCAAGGAGCCAAAAAAAAGGGACAGGGGCAACTTGTGATTGATATAGCCCTATCTACGTTGTATTTTAAATTGATTATATGTATAAGGCAGAGGGTTTATGATGCTATGCATCTTCTTGACATCAAAGACTGCTACTCATCTTGACCTTAGGACGTGGAGACTTCATTTTTACCTTTTCATATAAGCATTGAACTTAGATTTGTAGCGATTACGTTGCTTTCTTTGTCCCAACTACCCAACATACTTTTGAGGGTTATTGCAAGCTCTTAGTGTCCATAGCTTTTGTCCCAAATAATGAAATGGTGTTTCAGAACCATTTTATGTCATATAGCTTTTAGTATAGTGTCTTCCCCACTCATTCATTATGACTTTCCATTAGTGACTTGGTCAATTTGGACTAACTAAAGTCAACAAACTACTCAATTGATTTCTTAGCTCTATTTTCAAAACTGTAATTGGATAATTTTTTCTCCTAACCATGTCATTTCTGAAGATATGACTACTGTGTTTAGATATGGTATACCAGTGTTTGTTGCATAACTATTCTTCATGACTATAACAAAACATGAGATTGATTTTCTATAATGTACTTTCTTCGATTGTGATTTTCAATCTGGTGACGTTATTAGTGCATAAGCCATCTTCTAGACATGTCATGTACATTGTCACCTAAGTTGTTTGAATGTTCAATGAATGCACAAATAGTTTCCGTGAATATCTGCATGAACACACAAAGTGAAAGTAGTACCACAGTCTTGTCTAGTACTATTACCATTGGGACAATTTGAGTTGTTATAATGATGAAATACTTTCAATTGTAGGGACAGCAGATAAGAACTTATTCAAATTACACTATACGAGGAACTCATTGTAATCACACTATAGGTTAGAATTTTGTGAAGGGTTTGATTCCTTTATATTGAAAACTTTAATGGAGAAAAGAGAGGAAAACAAAAAAGGAGAGCAGAACGCACATGGTTTTCATTAACAATTCTGCCTTTTACATGGAAATAAAGGAAATTGCAGAAAACAGAAGAAACTACCATGAACAGAAACAATTTAACTGCCCATTACACAAAAAACAAACTACTAATTGCAACTAATTAAAACTAGAGTGCCACTGTCAAGAATGAAGGTCTGTGGCCTTAGTGTTATGGCTAACTTCAACATATATTAGTCCACATGGAGAAAACACACATGCAGATAGATGCAAATAGAAGCAATCAATTTGTGAGTAAACATGGCAGCATGGGAAAATTGTTCACAAGCTGTGTTCCCATTCAATCTGTCATCCCTTCAAAATTAGGCCCTAGAGAGTGGAGACTATAATGCTCATTGCCAACTAATTCATCACTTTAGCCTGTCACTCAACAACTTCACATGAAGTGACATGTAATCTCCTTGGGCTTGTTTGCAATATGCGGTAGGAGCCATTCTATTTGTTTGATCAAAAAGTCGAACAAAAATGTATGCAATGTACTATTTAGTATTAGAATACCTGCAAGTTGATTTGCCTCTAGGTTTCTAATTTTCGATCTTTCAATCCAACTAGTCTGTTCTCTTGGATATGCATCGAAACCAAAAAGTTGATGACTCATCAATTAAGTGGTATGCCATGATAGTTATTCATCATTTATGTCTCCAGAAGTTTGGTTTCCAAATCCATGAAAATCTTATAGACAGTTGGCAAGTAGAGCCATGCGATTCCTCAAAACTTATGTCTTAAATAGACCCCATGTTTAGTCCCCTCTTTGCCACTGAATCCACTTTGGTTTTTTGGTCAAGGAACATTTAGATTATATACCTCTCTGCCTAACTAAATTCCCACATCATAAAAATCTTCTCCTACTTTCAAAAGCCTAGAGCTTCAGCTACAATCCGGTTAATTCATGGCTTTCCACTTTACTAGGATTTTTAAAGCTAAGCAAAACCTTGTCTCCAGAAAGTACTAGTGTGCTTAGAGGCCATTTTGCTGTTTATGTTAGAGAGAATGAGAAGAAACGATTTGTTGTTCTAGTGTCATACTTGAAGGATCCTTCATTTCAAAGCTTGCTTGGCAAGGCTGAAGAAGAGTTCGGGTTTAATCATCCAACGGGTGGTCTTACTATCCCTTACGGTGAAGAAGTCTTCATCAACCTCACTTGCAGTTTGTAGAACTCTTAATGAAATTACATGAAAATGTTTGAATTACTAGACCATGTATAGGAGGCCTTTAACTCCTGAGGCCACTGACTCAAACACCAATTTTGTGTTGTAGAACAACAGAAACCAGACTGGTTATCCTTATGCTGTCTAAGCATTATTATTCTCCCAAATGTAATTCTCTATCCCTAACTCTTGAGGCGCCCCAATTTTTTGACATTATTTATCCTATTAAAACACCTAAATCACATCCAATTTCTTGATCATGAGCTGGCACACAAAACCATGTGAGCCTTCAGCTGATCATGTCTTTCATCTACACCACAGGCTCAATGTTTCAAGGGATTTTCCAGTTTCCTCAATGTCTGAACCTCACTCACAATCTAAAATCAGATAAATTCTTCACCTCTGTCTATACTGAGCATTGAACTGACCATTTCCAATCTTTAGCCAGTCTTCCTTTGGACCCTCCAAGTTTTAGGTCACTGTCTACCAATTCAAAGAATATGATTTTCAAGCTCCTAATGTCTTTTGGATTAGTTGGAGGATTATCAATTATATACACATGCTTCCCTATATATGAACGATGTAATGATTCAAAAATGATAGAAAGAGCAGGAAATGTGACATGAAAAATAATCTTGCAATATGAAATCAAGCTGTACTTGGAAAAAGAAATGTTCATCGCAATCTATATTGCTTTATTTAGTTATTTTCTACCATTCCTCATGTAGCAAGCTGCAGAGCTGTACGCAGTGACTTGCTTGCTTGATATTTGACCATAATCAATATCAGAGAAACCACACCAAACTTATTGTCTTAAGAATGTCCCTTATCTAAGGATAAAAAATCTAAACTATGATCATGCACATAATTAGTTGTTCCTTGGGTGAAATTTCAATGGTGTGGGGTAAGCTGTCTGTTAAAGCAGACATATTGAATTTGGCAGGCACCAAAGTTTGTCAATCAGAGAGAAGGCAGTACCATGTGATTCCCTCATGAACTATGTCCCAACTCCCAAGGTAGTATCTAGGAAATGGTCCTTAGCCACTCCTTGCAAATATCTAGAGGATTTCCACATACCAGTTTCATTTATATATACCTCCACATTTTCGTTCTGGCCACAACCAACTCAGCTCTTCACCTTCAAATCCTCTTTGAAGTCTTTTCTTTGGATAACTAATCAAGTTTCCACAAAAACCCCTCAAGCTTTTCTTCTCAACTCTATGACCAATGGGTTTCCGTTTGCCTGCTGCTATTTCTAAGCTAATTCTTCATAAGGCAACTTCAGCATCTTTAGAGGCACCAAAAGGGTTCTTCCCAGTTTATGTTGGAGATGAAAGGAAAAGATTTTTGGTTCCAATTTCCTATTTAAGTCACCTTGCATTTCAAGTGTTGCTAAGGAAAGTAGAAGAAGAGTTCGGTTTCAATCATCCCACAGGTGGTTTGACAATTCCTTGTGACGAGGAAGCTTTCCTTAATGTCACTTCTCAGCTGAATATATCATAGAAGAGAAGACATTTTTTCCTTGAACAAAAATCAGCAATCCAAAAATACCAGAAGGATACTTACCTGTTCAGATTGGCAGAAACCGGAAAGAAGAAAGAGTTCAAGCTTTCACAGCCACCGAAGAAATCGTCATTGAGATTTTCTTGTTAACTTTGAGCATTAGGAAGAAAGTGCTAACATGATGGCTATTCCTAGGAATATAGAAATTAAAACCAATGAAAATAGTGACTGTCTTTTTTTCAATCTTAACTCTTGGGTTGTTTAATGAACTCTTGTATGAGAATTTTTAGGCAAATCTTTCCATCTGAAGAAAGTGATATATTTCTTCCCTTCATTTCTTTTGTCATTGATCTCCATGTAATTCAAGAACCTTCAACGCCAGAACAGAAAATTCCTTCCCGTTTTTTATGCTTAATCTTCTTTGTTGAATGACTGCTATGCCTAAGTGTGGATCGTAATTGATCTGTTGACTATTTAAATCTCCATCACCAAAAACCAAACATTGTTAAATACTTAAAATGATGCATGTTTTGTATCTTAGCTTCATATGTCAGACGATTTTATGCATAATCATCTCCTCCTCAGACAAGTCAACTAAAGTAGAATGTTTAGCAATAATAACTAGGCAGATCAGGGAAATATAAATTTTTAAGGCCAGTACTGCCCTTGATTTACTCTGTTCAATGTTAAAAAGACAAGTAAGAAATATTAAGGATTCACAAGAAACAAGAAGTTCGTTCCCTCCTTTAAATTCCAACGATACCAATACATATATCTCTTACATGTGGTCTGAAATTATGTATGCTGATATGGACTAACAGTAGAACACACTTCACATGCTCTTCACCAGGGTTTGTCTTTCACACGTCTTCCATGCCAAGAGATCAAACAATAAGAATTCAATAGGTTTTTGATATTAAATCACCTGGGCAAGCAGTCTGAATTATTTCATTTTCCTAATCATGAGCCGGAAGACAGAACCATGTGAACCTTCAGCTGAGCAGGTCTCTCCTCAATTGCTTCACACCACTAGCTCAATAGTTCAAGGAGTTTTTCCTCTTATCTTGCCATCTATATATACATAACACAGCATCCAAAACCAAATCAAGTTATTCTCAACTAGCAAACAGATATCTTTCCTTTCCTCTCCCGAGTGAGTTTTCATCATCATACAAAAGTCGCAAGAGATCAAAGCTGTTTGCAAACCCAGCATCTTTAATAACTAGTAGTCTTCCAAAGGGCTATTACACAGTTTATGTTGCAGAAAGCCAAAAGAAGAGGTTTCTAATTCCTATATCATTCTTGAATGAGCCTTCATTTCTAGAACTTCTAAACAAAGCTGAGGAAGAATTTGGCTTCAACCACCCAACAAGTGGTCTTACCATTCCCTGCAGATCGAGAAGACATGTTCATCGATATCTCACTGCTCGCTTGACTGGATTGTGCTTTGTGTAGGCAGAACCATTAAATGACAGAAAATTTTGTAAATTCATCGTGCGGAGATTTTTTTTTTTTCTTTCTTTCAAAAAAAGAAAGATCTGGGGGTATCATGATATTCTTCAGTATAGATCTTTTTGCAACAGAAGCTACATTTTCTAAAGCCTTTTTGCTTTACTCATCTATTCCCCATTGAACATATGCTAACTTAAGTTCACACTCGTAATATCTCATGATGAGAGAATATATGTTAAGCATGAAATATGTAGCACCCAAGAATTTGTTACATTATACAGCCTTAAAAGACTAAACATTCTTGTGGCTTGAGTTCATTATTATTGTGCTTATCAATCCAAACTTGTAAAACAAATATTATATATCAATTTCCTATCCAGCTTATCCTCTTCTTTTTCTTCTTTCATCATCTAGCTACAGTTTATAACTGCATCAACATGTTGTTTGTTTGTGTCCTCCATATCTGAAGCTCATTCTCAATTTAGGAGAAAATTCTTCACCTTGATCAATATTGAGTATTGAGCTGTCCATCTCATCTTTACATTGTCTTCCATAGGCTTTTCCTTCTTGAAATTGGATGGAATTTTCTACCAATGACTCAATAAATATGATTTTTTGGACAAATTGGAAGATAAAACCACGCGATACCCTCTTGAGTTATGTCATGACAACTTCATCAAATTAATTAGGTAGAATGCTTGTGGTAATTATCAACCCTTCTATCTATTCATTTGTCTTCCTTTTTCCTCTTTATTTCTGGGTGCCACGCTTGTAACTCCATCCAACATAGCTTACTTATACTCCTCTATAAAAAATTGTTGTCTCAACCATGTCCAAAATCAAAGGGTCCAACCCAAAAGTGTGGTTCAATAATTAAGAACTTGAGATTCTAAATTAGAGATTTCAAGTTTGAATTTTAAGTCGAATGAAGAAGAATTTAGAAAAAGAAAAGAACTTTTCTCTTTTATATAACCCATCATTATCAGATATACCAAAAAAATCAAGGGGTCCATTAGTTCTACATCATCATCAGGTATACATCCCAGTTGTTCCTTTGCTACCTTTTACTTGGTCTAGATTACTTGCTTTGGAAGTTGTAGGCCACACACATTGTTCATAAATACACATTTTTCTTCAGCACATTTCAACAAGCATCGAGTTTTCATCTCCTAATTTTTGTTTAGGATTTGAAGACAAAACCATGTGATACCCTCTCCAATGATGTCTTCATCAGCAGACCCAACAAATGCTTCATAACCTCTCATTGATAAACTTCAAAGAAACCACAACCAATCTCCATATATCTTCACCTGAAGCGTACATCAAAAAAAGCAATAGCTAATGGTTTGCCTATTATTCTAGTGCTAAGAAACGTACATCACAACCATGTTATTTTCTGCCTAACTAATCATATTATATAGAGGTGTAAATCCCCTACAAAATTATGCCACTAATTGACTGACTGCCCTTATAGGCTTGGTGTGGATATTTACATAGGGAATTAATCAACCTAAGAATAAGTGTTGTAGTTGTCTTCTTCTTCCTTCTTTTTTTCTTTTTATTTTTTATTTTATTTTTATTTTTTTGGAGCAAACCCAAGAATAAGTTTGTGAACCATTATCAAAATAAAAAAAAAAAGCCGGGGACTCTAATCTAAAAATAAAAAAAGTTCAGGACTTCCTTAGGGACCGGCCAAAACGAAATTATCCAAGCGAGTCCACTTCCTAGCATCATGCCAGCGTTGTTTTCCCAGTTTCCATGGCCGAAAATTTCAACTTTGTTTCTCGAAGCTTTAATTCCATCTTTAAATTTCTACATGATTGTTCTCAGAAAAGAATCTCATAGCCACTAAAAGGGTTAATGCTCACTTACTCAGAACTGGATTAATGTTTGCCTCTCCCAGCATCCATACTGAACTAATCTTCACATACGCCACATGCCCCAACAAGAACAATGTTAAAACCTTAACCAGATGCTTCAAATTCGTAGGTTTCCAAAACCCATTACTCTTTAATGTACTGATATCAGATTTTTGTAGAAATGGGTTTGCTTTTTTGGCCCTAAAGACTGTCTCTTTCATGCACTTCAATGGTGTTGCTTTGGATACTTATGCTCTGCGCAGTTCCTTGAAAGCTTCGTCTTTTATGGAGAATGTTAGATTCGGTGAGCAGATTCATACCCATGCGAGAAAGACAAGTTGGTTGTCAAGTGTCTTTGTGGGTAGTGCTCTGACTGATTTGTATGCAAAATTTTTGCTGATAGACAATGCAGCAGTTTTGTTTGATGAAATTCATCTTAAGAATACTGTTTGTGAAAATGCACTTTTATCAGGTTATTGAGAGGCTAAGCGGTAGATTGATGGACTTGAATTAGTCAGGACGATGCCTCAACTGAACTTGGACTACGATCATTTCACTTTATCAGCAATGTTACGGGCATGTGCAGGGTTATCTGCAATTGAATTGGGCAGGCAAGTTCATGCATATCTGATTCGAAAAGTTTATGATGTGGGGAGTGATGTGTTTTTGCAGAGTACATTGAGTGAAATGTATGGCAAATGTGGCCTGGTGGCGAAGGTTTTTCAAGTTTTCAGTTTGTTGGGGCTAAGTTTTGAAGGACAGAAGAAGAGGGATGTTGTTTTGTGGAGTTCCATGCTTGGTGTGTACGGTAGAAATGGGTACTTTGAAGAAGTGATTTTGTTGTACAAAGAGATGCTGAAGGAGAAAATTAAACCAGATGAGGTGGCTTTTGTGACAGTCATCTCAGCTTGTAGTCATACGGGTCAGGTGAAACTAGGGATTGAATATTTTGAGTCCATGACTCGTGGCTATAAGTTGGTTCCTGGACCAGAGCACTATAGTTGTCTGGTTGATTTGCTTCGTAGGACTGGCAAGTTGGATAAAGCATGGGAGGTGGTAAATGAGATGCTTCAAAAAGGGCATGACAATGGTAGTATTTCCATGTGGTGTACTTTGCTTAGTGCTTGTGTGGATCTTGGTAACATTGAGTTGGGTAAATTTGCTGCTCAGAAAGCACTTGAACTGGATCCTCAGAATGCAGGTATTTATGTTTTGTTATCCAACTTGTATGCTAAGTTTGGAAGGTGGGATGAGTTTGGTCAGTTAAGAGAGATGATGAAACATGGAGGGTTAAAGAAAGATGCTGGATGTAGTTGGATAGAGGTCACCGATTGAGTTGAGCTGGACTTGGCCCTCAGAGTGACATATTGTGACTCTGATTTCTATTTGACTGGATAGAACGCAGACTGAGTATCTTCTGAACTCTGACATATGAAGTATTCAAATGATCTGCAAGTGACACTTCAAATGTCAAATAGGAATTAACTGGAAGCAGCCAGAATGAACAAAGTGGTTTGAGTGACAATTTTTTTTTCATTGTCTTATAAGCTAGAGCATCTATGGAAGGTGTTGAACAAATTAGATCTTGAAGCTTAATGACATAGAAGTTGCTCTCTTTCAGATAGCCGCCTGCCCTAAAGTGACCGTGAATGTCTTTCTGAATGTTTAACCATTAATTTGGTCATTGAAATGATGTTGCGTACAACCACAAGAACAGATTTCGAACCCAGATTCTCCATGAAATATGTTTTCAAGTTTCATTCCAGGAAGAAAACATGGTTTTACGTTTCCTATTACATCATTGTTCGTGGTTTATGTCCAGAAGAAGCTCAGAGATGCTGAAATAAGCCTCCCTATTGTGTATGGTAATGCTGCTTTCTGGCTTTGGGAAAAAGGCGAGTGAGTATTGGATAAAAAGTTATGACCTTTTTTTAAACTGCCATCAGTTGCTACTTCAGTTGTTTCTTTGATTTGCAGATTATAAGTCTATTAAATGCTTGTTTATGTTACTCTACTACATATATCAGGTGGCAGTCTCGTAAATGGAAGGTATATTTTCATGGGGCGAGAAACAAGGATCTTGATGTGGTGATAAAACTTGCTGTTTTCAGTTGCATTCAAGTTTCAATAACCCCACGAGAGTTATGGAGTCCGAACCATTTGAATTATGGAATCAGGATGGGGTGAATTTGAGATTGCCATTACACTATTTTGTATTTTCAAAGTGATGTTGTGACAAGCCATTGAATTCGTGAGTTATTTTGTCCTGGTTTTTAGTGCTGATTTGTTTGGCCTGTTAAAGAGATAGCACAAGTTTGATGTTGGGCAGCCAATTTTGTATTAGGACATTGTTTTATTCCAAGTTTATCATGGTTTAGACAAAATAAAGAAAAATTTATTGAATTAGAAACAACTTCTTCTAGGTTAATAACTGACAGCGTCTCATCTCAAACACAGAATTCTTGCTCTCTAGAAGTTTGTTTGAAGCATGAATAGCTTTGCTATACCTGCTAATGTGTTTTTGTTGATGAATTAATTGAGAACATAAATAAATTCCATTTTATTAGAATTAATCATGAGACTTGTGCTTCTTCTTCTTCTTCTTCTTTTTTTCTCTTTCTTTTTTCTTGTCCTTGATCAAATGGCTGAAACATTGGAAGTGTATTGATATTCGCTAGACATGTTCTAAATGCACAAATAAAATGTTTGTTCCTGATCTTTTCTTTTAAAACAGAAGTTATTTTGATGACTGGAGTATTATGGCAGTAATACAGCGTTGAATTCCCCTGAATCTCTTCGTCAAAATGCATTACACTGGTTCGGTGGGTTAAGAGTGATGAAATTGGGATGCTGGGGACCAAGACTTCATCGTTCAGCATAAGCAAAAAGAGTAGATCTGCAACTAACTTGTTTGGCCAAAATTCCAGGACAGTTCCTGACGCAGAAATCATTATTATGAATGATCCTCCTTTTGCTAAATAACGGCTTTTGTTTCTGTTTTCCTGGAGTAGGAGATACATGGATGGTGAAAATCCCTTATAATAGTAAGTCACTGAAATTACTTCTTCAGGAGCCCTTCTCCTGCACTTTCGTTTGTGATTTCTAGAATGCTTTATCCACAAGAATGGTTACCTAAGGTTGACATGATTGCATTTAGTTTTTGAATTTGCATGATTAATGTGATCTTTGCAGACTCTATGGCACCTTTCTTAAGCGTCCGTTGAGAGTATTATGAAACAGATTACAGATATCAGTCTAGCTGAGGGGCCTTCCCTGGTACTTCCATCTGTCCTCTGAATATTGAATGTAAATGGAAATGGGGCCATCACCTCTGTGGCATTGGCATGGGTCCTGCACGAGCTGTCCTGGTCAGCTCAATGTCTACCATTGTCATTCTCATCTTGATTTTGCACAAACCAGCTACATCCCCTAGCTATCTTTAAATCTTAGAAAATTCTCCTAATAATTCTCTTTTGAGGTAGGTCCAAATTAGATTAACAACTACATAGGCCCTTCTCTACTGTAGTTTTTCATAATCAAGGAACTAATCTATTATTAATATTCGGCTTGGTTGTCTTGTCAGCTGTTATGTTCATCCTTTCCTTTACACTGCCAACCTGCTTAGCCATCTTTCTCCTGCTTTCTTGAGCCCTTTTTTCTGCTTTTCTCATACTATATATATATATATATTCACAAGTTTCCTGACTGAGTGTTTATACGCCTGAATAACGAAGTTCCTTTTTTTGTTAAGTAATCTTGATTGTTTCACCGACATGGAAATTAGTAAATGAATAAATTGCCTATGTGCTGACATCTTGATGATGAAATGATATCACCAGCTCTAATCTCATTTTGGTTTAAGTAGTTTATACAAATATCTGGAACATGTGCATTTAGATGGTATCATCTCATGCAGTTATGTTTTTCCAAGTACCATGATATCAGTTTGCAATTCTAGCAAGAGGCAGGAGGTGATGGAAAAGGACAACCCTGGTTTAATCTGGAGTGTGATAAAAGAGACCAATACGGTAGTTTACAGTTTGAGTGATAATTGGGGAAAGTAGGTCTTGAAGCCATTTTAAGTAGTTGGAATGATCTCATAGGACCTCACTATGTCGTCTTTTACAGGAGTCTTTGGGGGGCAAGAGTAACATGGCCTTCATGTGCCATACAAAAGACAAGGTCGTTATCAACCATTAAAAGAAAAATACCCTTATGATCTCCATGACTAGGCACTGCACCACATTTCGGTGGAAGAAATGGTGGGCCTTTCTCGTCCCCTATTTTTCCCTTCATTTCTCACTAACCATTCTCATTCACAGAACATGCAAGAGTGTCATCCGAAGACGGCAACCTCCAAGGTAAACTTGTTTACTCTCTCTGTGCCTTATTTATCTCAGCAGTGAATTTTTTTTTTTTTTTTCTTGGGACGAATCTTATAGGAGTCTAGAAAGTTGATGATATATTGAGAAAAGAGTAAAACAAAAGGAGTAAGACAGAACTTTTGGACATTTCAGTACCGGACATTGAAATTAGGCCTAAGAACATGGTGCCAACCTATGAAGATATCAAGGGTAAAAGCTAAAAATACAAGTTTTTCTAATTGGTGGTTGAGGTTTCATCAGGATCACGTAGGAATTCCCGTCTCTGATCTAGAATTTCTACTTTCTAGCAACATAAAATGCTCTCAACTGAATAATCAGACAAGCATGAAACCAGAGTTGCTTTTCTTGTTAAGTTTAATGTTGAGAATACAGACATCCTAGCATTTTTGAGTAGGCAAAAACTGGTTCGATTAAAAGACATACATCTTATCCTTGTCCAAAACAATAATGTCTGAACAGGAATTTGAAACTTCTTTCTATTTATATACTTCAATAATTCACTTCCAGTAGGACATGATGAGACCCATGAAGTATAAGAGAGAGAACACATACAGGTCTAGGTTTATAATTAATTCCATATATATATATATATACCGGAAAAAACCGTATTAATTTATCCATGTTCAAACAGGGTACTAGAGAATATAGAATACTTGAGTACTCTGATATTGGAGAAGTCTTTAAATATTTTATTCTTTAGATGGATACTAGGGTTTTAGCAGCTAGATTTATAATTCTCATGAAGCAGAAGACTAAACTGAGCATGAAAAAACAATGACAGCTGAGGTCAAAACCTGCAACTGTATCAGTAGAATACACATGGATTTCTGAAAAAATTTGGGATGTTACTGTTTGAGAAATGTTGTTTTTTCTCCCCCCACTCAGTCCACAGATCACAAGTCCAACAATTAAAAACCACCCTCTCGAGAGTTGTATTCTTCAGTTCAATTATTGGTCCGTGATTTCAGGTGGGTAGAGAGGGGAAACCCTCAGTAATCTGAGATTAAAACCTGGAGAAGTTCTAAATCTCTGTAAATTGAAATAAGCTTATAGAGGGAAACAAAAACACTAGGTACGTTCAAAAGAAAATCTTAATAAAAAAAAATTATTCTATCAATTTTTTTTTAGAAAAAAAATTATTCTATCAAATTAAATAGGCCTTGCCATTAGTTAGCTTGGTGTATATTAAAATTATTTCCAATCTTTCTTATTTGTTATAAGAGTCAAATTCAAGATTTTTAAAAATACAATTTTTAGTTTCAAATTAATCATTTCAAAAGACTAACAATTGAATAAGTAAATTTAGTTTTGTTTCAAGCTAAATAAATGAGGAAACATGAAAGTATTATGCAATTATGTAATTTGAGGAAGGATTATGAAAGTGGAGCCATTTTTTCTTAATTAATAATCTTTTTATCAACTATAAAATAAAAATTTACAAAAATTAGAATTAAAAAAAGAGGACATAATCTCATGAGGACCATCATGGTAAAGAAATCACAAGGGGTTGGGCTCCCCATTGTCCTTTGTACAAATGCACATACCCCAAAACACCCGTGCTGTCCTTTTGCATCCACACCTCACATGACCTTTCTTCCCCACCCCTCTCTCTTCCCCTTTCTTCATAAATACCCCCCATTTTTCACTCCATTCCCCATCGCCACTTCAACTTTCAACTTCTCTGTTTTTCATACCCACCTCAGCTTCTTCCCCTGCCGAGAAATGGCGATCAGGAAATCCTCCAAACTGCCTCAAACCGCAGTACTCAAGCAGATTCTCAAGAGATGCTCGAGCCTGGGGAAGAAGCATGGCTTCGACGACGACGACGGCCTTCCACTCGACGTCCCCAAAGGCCACTTCCCTGTCTACGTTGGTGAAAACAGAACAAGATACATTGTCCCCATCTCCTTCTTGACCCACCCGGAATTTCAGTGCTTGCTTCGACAAGCAGAGGAAGAGTTTGGCTTTGATCACGACATGGGTCTCACAATCCCTTGTGAAGAAGTCGTTTTTCGCTCCCTAACATCCATGCTCAGATAAAAAGATGAGTCCTTTGGTGGGGGTTGTGAAACAGGGGGAGTTTGCCTTTCAAGAAGAAAGATGATCACCAAGAGATGTAACTGCTTCTCTTTTTTTAAACATCTTTCATCCTTGGCTTCTTGCTCTCCTGTTTCTTCTTTCCTTTCTTTTTTTTTTTTCTCTTCCTGTGCTATTTTGATCCCATTTGCCATTTGGGTTTTTCTATGTAGTCCCTAGTGACTCTAACTTTCATACCCAGGAAATTTTTTCTGGGTTTGATTTGTAAAGAGATGCAAGATGTTTTCCTCACAGATGTGTGAATTAATTTGTAACATTTTCTGTGAGAGAAGTTAATGTTAAGGAATGCAATGGTAATTAACTACAAAAAAATCTCTCTTTCTAAATCTCTGTTCCATGCAACTTTCTTTGGTCCTTGTTTTCCGGTGGGAATTTAGGGCAAGAAAGGACATGTTCTTGCCTTCTTGTTTAGTCAAATCAAATGAAATGAAGGACAAGCCCCAGCAACATGTGTTTGTCAGAGAATGTGGGGTACTTCGAGTTGTACGGTTTGTAAGGATTATTATTTTCAAAGTACATAATAAGTTAGTGGTATGGTTACCCAGTGTTAAAGATCATTAATATTTTATTTTTTATCTTGTTAAATTATTTATTGATTCATTTAATTTAAGGACAAAAGTGATGAATGTAAATTTTTTTTTAACATCGAAAAATTAGGGGAATGAGAAAATTTTTTAAGTTAATAATGAACGTAAAACCCTCAATAAATAAAATCCTAGTATTTAATTTTAAAAATAAACTACTAAATCTGATGGTTTAGATGAATGTAATATTAAAAATATATATCTCACTTAAATTAAATGAGTAAATAAACAATTTAACAACATAAAAAGTACAATATTACTAGCTTTAGCACTTTTGCTGGGGGGCCATCACTGGCCAATATGCGCCCCCAATAAGAATATGGTTTTGACTTTGAAGGGATTGCATTATTTGCCATATGAACCACAAAATTCATCTCACACAAAATATATTGTCTATTAGTAATTCATGGCCTCATGGGATGAACTTGTTTCTGCCTTTAATGTTTTCCCCGCATTAAGGAAAACTGTAAATGATAATTATGATATTGGTAGCTACTGTCATCATCCTACATTAATGCTCCTCTGCATATGGCATTTACTTCTTCCTCTTACCCATGTGGCAAAAATTCTCCTTGTATCAGGACTCATTGGTGTGTTTTTATTTGCTTCAAATTTTGACCACCTCTCAAATGAAATGTATATGATA